AATTATACTTCATATATTCGATTTTAGATCTGCTCAAACGAAAACTTTTAGACTTTAAGGTTGACCTCAATAATTCAGGTTTTTCTTTAACTCCCTCTCTAATGTTATCAACAAGAAGAATATCATCAACAAAAAGCCTAGGGACATCCTCTTACAAATGTCTAGTAAGAACATCCATGAATAAAGCAAAAAGATACAGACTTAAAGCTGATCCTTGATGTAATCCAACTGAAATAGAAAAATAATTGGTCAAATCACCTTGTTTTTGAACACAAGTAATAGCACTTGCATACATATCCTGAATGACTTGAATATAAGCATTATTAATTTTTTTCTAGAATTTTTTGAAGCACTTATCTTCGAACTTCGTCATATGCTTTCTCTAAATCAATAAATATCATATGAATATCTTCCTTATTCTCTTTATACTTTCCATCAAACTTCTCAATAAATGTATAACTTCCATCATAACTTACAAAATAACTTATAAAGGTTCGAATTAACATTATAAATAATAAACATACTAGTTGTCTTTAACATAATTCATACACATCTCTCTCTTTGATACACCCAAAAATATGCACAAAAACACTAAGATGAAGAATAAAACTTAGTCACCTTATTATGGCTCTAGCTATTCTTTTCCCTTTTCTTACACAACAATAACAACATCAAGCCTTTATCCCACTACGTGGAGTTAGCTACATGAATCATTTTTCTCCATTATGTCTGGTTAAGAGTCAAATTCTCATTTAGATCTAATAAAGAATTTTCATTTCTAATTTTTTCTAACCATGTATTTTTCGGTCTACATCTACATTTCTTAACATAGGTTAAATCTAATACATCTTCTCTCCTAACTAGGTCATTGAAAGGCTACCGTTTTATGTGACCAAATCATCTAAGGTGGCTTTCTCTAATCTTATTTGCCACTGGATCTACTCCAACCTTTTCACACATATGCTCATTTTGTATCCTATCTCTAAGAGTAAAGTCGCTTGTCCACCTAAGCATCCTCATCTCGACAACACTTAACTTAGTGTTATGCTTCTCTTTAATGGCCAACATTCTATGCCATAAAGCATTGCAGGTCTAAACACCATCTTATAGAATTTTCCCTTAAGTTTGAGTGGTACTTTTCTATCACACAACAAGCCCGATGTATTCCTCCACTTTATCCATCCAACTTGATTCTACTAATACTATCTTCATCTATTTCATCATCACTCTAAACAATAGACCCAATATATCTAAAGCATGTACTCTTATTAATGACTTGATCGCTCAAAGTCACAAACCCTCACTAGATCTATTACTACTAAAATTACACTCCATGTATTCGATTTTAGATCTACTCAAACGAAAACCTTTTGACTCTATGGTTTACCTCCTTTTCTTAAACAACAATAAAAATAATTTTTCATGAGCTTCACAATTTAGTGGCATGATGAACTTGGATAAATAATTCAAAAATAAGAAAAAGAGAATAGTATGCCAATTTGATCGTTTAAACTAACATGAATATTAATAATGATAGATATAGTTAGCTTAGTGTCACAAATTTATATTCAAGATATGCTTTGATAATTATGTAACTAGCAAAATCATAAGTAATAAGTATGAATGTTTGCAAAGAAATTTAATATCAAGAAATGATCTTAGAAGTGTCATACTATGTCTGTTTTGGTTTTGACATATTTAAATATCATATTTTTGCACCTAACTCAATGGCCCATTATCACCGTTTATAAGGGTTGGATTTGTTATAATATAGCAGTTATCGAATGCCCCGTCCATAAATGTTAGACTGACCCACCCAAACATGGCAGTTATTGTGAGTTGGGAACTCTCATTTGGCTCTTATTGAGGCTCATCTTGAATGAACTTTGTACAGATCATCGTAATCTACTAATTTATTTCACATGACATGACCTTTCATAGCCTTCCTCTTTTAGCATCAATATCATAAGCATTTAAAATATACTAAGCATTTTTATGCTCATGCTATGATTAATCTATATCAACTTGTAACTAAGGCATAACATGACCAATAAAAATTGACATCATGGTACTTAAATATGCATATTAAATCATTCATTGGAAAATTTTGATATTTGAATTGTATATATACATCATAAAATTATTTTAAATAGGTGATCTTATAAAATATAGAAGATTTATTTATATCGCCATAATATGATCATCATGAAGAATTTTCTCCTGGCATGCATATTTTGGTCCAACATAATTGTAGGGTTTAAAATTTATTAGATTTAAAGCACTTTGATGCTTATATTAGCGATTGAGTATCTCTGCTAACAATGGATTTACCTTAGAATGGATTTTCTTATTTTTATCTCTTCAAAATATTAATATTTTTTTTTTTATATACACTCTAATAAAGATATCAATGTCCTTAATTTAAAACAATTTCTAATGTAACAATATAAATTTAACTTGAATTACCTCAAAATAATTACTCATTATACAAGACTTTAAGCTTATCAACTTTATTATAAGCTCATCTTGTCGGAAGAAATGCCAAAAAAAATCGTATTTTACCTAAGAATGAAACTACCAGGCCACTTTCTTTAGCTCAAAATAATTCTTTGCTCCCTTTTTGGGTCTCCAGCTGCTGGTTGCTGCAAAATGAGGGAAATGGAATTAAATGTTGAGTATGCGTGCGTGTGTGTAATATATATATATATATATATATTGAATGCTGATTTAAGTGGACAAGCAGGTGTATGAATAGTACAATAGATTGATGAGCAATAACTTTAATTAAACTTTAAGATTAATTATTTAATTTGGAATTTTTTTACAACTAATATGCATCTAGATATGAAATTGATCCTAATAAAATATAGAATTTTATGAAAATAATTTTAATCATTTCCGTAATGTTCAAAAATTGGGTATAAAATTTTGGATGAATTTTAACTTTTACTTAAATTTTACCTTTTGACGTTTTGAGTATTACAGTTTAGAAGATCTGCTAGTTGTTTCACTTATGGTATAGGCCTAAGCAATTATTAAGTTCCTGATGCAATCAAAAATTTGGGAAGGGATCCAAATTTTTGATCACAAAAAGCTCTTTCTAGGAACAAAATAAAGACATAAAAATACTAAAAAAGATACAAATTCTATAAATCACAACTTTATATAATAAAATGACTTACAAACAAAGACTCTTTACAAACTTGACTCAAACAAGACACCCTAAACTTTCTTTCCAAAAGAAGAAGGATACAGGTGGGGTGTAAACTTGCGGAGAGACGAAAGAGGTTAGAAGCCGAGAAGAAGGGTGGAAAGAACTCGCAAGTCTCCCCAAGAGATAGAAGAAGAAGAAGTGGACAAAGCTCGCAAGCTTTTCCAAAAACCCTCAGGTTTCTTTTCAAAAATCACATCATAAACTTACCTTAAAACATTCCAAAACATCTATATATATAGGCATGAGAGGGGAATACAAACAGTCCAAAAACCTTTCACATTCTAAGCAAATAAAAGCCACATAATTCTATGCTAAGATCAAAGCACCAAAGCCACGGAAAAGCCCCACATCAACCACGGTAAACTGCCCAGCCAGGGACCCGAAGAGGTAGCCGTAGAAACCAAAGAGGCCCGCACAGAACCGAGGCACCAAGGCACGGGAAAGCCACCCAGCACGGAAAACCAGCAGCCAACCGTGGAAACCAAGGAGCCAAGGCACGAAAACAGCAACCGTGGACACCAAGGAGCCATGGCATGGAAATCCATGAGCCAGCCGCAGGAAACCAAGGAGGCAGCCGTGGGAACCAAGGAGCCAAGGCACGGGAACCCAATAACCATCCACTGGAAACGAATAGACAAGGGGAAGAAGAAGAGACAAAATAATGAGCTACTAATAAATTAATAAATGATCTAAAAACATAGTTCATAATGAGCTAACTGTTAGTTCAATAAATGAGTTAAAAATTAGCTCATAATGAGCTAAATCTTAGCTAAAAAATTAATGAGCTAGCAAGCTATAGAGAAGTCAAAACCAAATTTTTTTGGGTTTGATTTGACTCCCCCTTTGCCTACATCAGTTACCCTCTTTGTGTATTGGAGATCATGAGTTGAAATTGCAGCAACAGCATTCTCTCACTACATGCTTAAGGTTGTATGCATCAATCCTTTGTCTTCCCCTGCATTGACAGAAGCCTTGATGCGTTGGGTTGCCTTTTTTTATGTATTGTTCACCTGGATATTGCCTATGCTGGTTTAAATTGTCTTACCTGATGTTAATTAATATTTGCTGTTGTTAAATTTTTGTATTGCTGCTAATGCAAGTAGTAATACCAAAAAGTTAAGTTCAAAACCTTTGTCGCTATTCATTTTGTGAACTTGTAAATATGGCTATGGCATCTAGTGTTGTATTGTTGAGTCTTAACCTTAATATTGGATGGATCTAGAAAAATAAGTGTGCTGGGGGACTTGCGGGCTGGAGTGAGCGTCATCTTGTATGATTGTAGTTTATATGTCACATTATCTTGGGGATCTTTTTATAGCCTGATAATGAAGGGGGGACCAATGGCATAGTATGTTGAGTAGGAAAAAGGGCTTGTGTCAGAAGGTGGGACTCTGCCTAGTAGCTGTGTCTGCATAGAGTATTGTAAGCAGGTCTGGGCCTCTTAATTGAATAAGCCAGTTTGGTTGGCCATGACAAGGAGTCCCAATTCTGAGATGCTTGCCTAGTCATGCTGCTGGGTGGTTGGTCCTTTCTGTTCCATCACTTTATAGTTATTTATATCCTTAAATTGCAGAGAATAAAATCAAGAGTGAGTAAATATAACTATATCTTTGTCTCCTAAAAAAAGACTTGTCCCCCATCTTGTCTTAAGAAAATTAAGTATACATTTCATTCTTATTTGTATCCTCTTCATAGTAGAAATTATCACTTCTTAGCCTTAACTGGATCATTGACAAATCAATCTTTATAAGTTGCTTACTAATTCCATTTATTAATGAATTTGCAGGCTAATATTCTTAAAATTCTTTGCTCTACTTTTGAGCGGCTACCGTAACTTCATTGTAAGTTGTATAGATATTTGATGATGTATTTCCAGGATACTACTTCATTTCAATTGCACCGTAATATTTGCTTTTTAGGAAAACAGCGCAAATAACATTTTCAATTCTCAAGCATTTATGAAGAAACGATCCCGTTCCACTAATCAATCTGTTGAGTCAATGGTGATGGTATGACTCTTACTTATCTATCTTTTTATAAATTGTGTTCTTCTATCTCCATTTTGAGTACTTCATTTGTTTGTATTTAAAATATTTGAAATAAGTTGCTCAGCTATATTTTATATTGAAAACGCAGTTTAATGAACATACTTTCAAGAAAAAAACAACTACGTGTGAAGATAGTTTCTGAGGGTCAAAACTTTTACCATTAGGGTTATTAGGCTATATTTGGCAAAAGGTTCTAGTTGGAAAATTGTTGATGGCAGATGGAAAAAGCTTCCATGCTAATATTTCTTTTGGTTTGAAAACTCTGATGTTTGCTTGTTTTTTTATTTAGAAAATGCAACTTTGTGTTGCAGTTGAACGGTAGCCTTCTGACCATAAGCAAACTGCTGAGGCCAATTTCTTTTTAAATTGACTACAAAACTTTGTATGAGATTTGGGTTTAGTCTTAGTTTTACTGGCATAAAATGTCAGTTTTAATCACCTTCTCTCATAACTTGGATAAAATCTTCATGTATTGTTGTTCATTTACTAATAAAAACATGAAACCTAATTAGTGTTTTGTTCAGAGATATTTGTGTCAGAAGCATTATCTTTTCATTCTTCAATGTTAATTTCTTTACTGCCATTTTTCTTGCATGTGTTCTTTAACTTTTATTCCTCCCTTTTCAGATAGCACAATTCTTAGATTCTCAAGGTTTCTTGGACTATTTGGAGAGATGTATCAATTCCGATGAAAGCAACTGTAATCTTCTGAACAAATTGCAAGATGCAGCTGGGAGGGGTCAAGATCCCATGATTATTTTCCCCTCTGCTGTGGAGCCTGAGATCATTACTGTATCCGCTCTTGATAAAGAGGCCGCAGGTTCTATGAATGTTCTTTTTTCTTTTCTTTTGTTCAAACATCTCACTTCTACATTCATCTTGTTCTTGAGCAGGTGAGAAGTGTCATTATGATCGATTTCCTGCAAACATTAGGACTAAGGAGCAGGAAGAAAAGCGTAGATCGATTCTTTCAGTAGTAGCTGGTGCTTTGGACTATTCATCAAAACAATCTCCAAGGTTTAAGTGTGCAAATTTAAGAGGATCTTAATTTGCACTTAAAAAATGCTTAATTTATTTTTTTTTCTTTATCATATTCCTTGCTCTTGTCAGCTCTCCGTCTATGCTTGGTCATATTGATTCAAATGAGGATACTTTGAGTCCCAGGGAGAGGGCTGTAAGTTCTACTAGCCTTTTTTTTATGGCTAGATATTTGAAAAGTCTCCTGTTTTATGAGCGATTATGATCTGCAGGCAGAGAGGGAGCGCATGGTGCTAGATATTCAAGTAAAGCTGCAGGTAAATTCCGTTGGTGATAATTTTGACTATTAGCCCTTATATTATATGTAAGGTATTTCTTTCTTAATAGGTGTGTTGTGACATGACCCAGCCCATGAGTTTGGAATAGCAAGGTTGGAATAAAGTTGGATGAAAATTTGAAGTTTAATGTACCTTCTACATAAATATAACAATTTAAAAACTTTTTTGTTGTATATATATAAGACTTCCAATTTAACTAAAAATTTTCAATTATTATAAAAACGTTCACAACTTCACATACGCCTTGAAATAATACATAAGGAATATAATAATTATTTAAGGGGGAATGCATCTAAACTATCATATATATATATATATGTTCATCATAAATATCTTTATGCCTGATGCAAACAAGGCCTATTATATCATCCATTTATTCCATCGTGTTTTTTTTTTTGAAAAATATTTATCAAATAATAGAAGTGAGTTAATACATTTAACTCAGTTAATATGTGATAACTATAAGCAACAGTAATTTAAAGAGAAAAATAAATAATATGCTTGTCATTCATTATATTTAAGCTGTAAAAAATAAAAGAAAAAAAGTGGCTTTTCATTTCAATAATAATTATGATAATAAAAATTGCTTACTAGTCAGAGTTATGAATGGTAATGAAATCAAAGTATTTAACTTGATTTTAGGAGTTTGAACATGAACCGAGCTTATCATATTAAAAAATTAACCTTTAGTATATAGTTAATATATCCATCTTAGGGGCACCGTCTAATCATAAACCGTACTCCCTCTAGATATCTCTCATCATCATAGTGGGGAGTAATTCATAAGTCTACTATTATTTGAGGTGGAATGACATCGAATGCACCCCTGGGTGATACATTCCATGCCCACACAGTGGGGCGTAGCTCATACATCTAATATTATCTAAGGTGAAAAAATTAAATTCTTCAATGCATGGGTATATTAACATCCTCAAGTAGTGTGTTAGAAGGATGAATCTATCTTACAACATGCACATACAAATAATTTTATACTTTATCTTTTAGATTTTTTTACAAAAAAATTCTATTTGTAAGGATCCTTGTATACAATCTTAATTAAATTATTGAAACATAACATGATGATGCATACATTTTTTATAACAAAATGATAGAACCATTTTCCATGAGTGAGAAATCATTGTAGTAATTCGTGATACAATCTTATAGCATGATATTTGTCTTATGTTTATTAAATGGCCTGAAATTGTTATATATAGAATTTTTTGTTGTTATCCATTAAAATTGTAATGAAGTGCTTCAGAATTAATTAAAAAAAAAGTTTTTGTCTTAGTTTGAGTAAATGTTGGTAGTAATGTATCCAATCTCAGATCCACTTCTTTCTAAAATTTATTAATTATATAAGTAAAAATATCAATGAACTACATGGCATACGTAACTTTCAATTATATTTTATTCTCAAGTCTTTAATAAAATCAAACCCACTTAATCAATAAGAGTACTCTTTCTTGTTTGATAGAAAGAAAAACAAAAGGAGAAAGAAGTTTCAAAACGTTTTCCTTCTTTCCCGAAAAACTTCATTTTCGGGAGATACCAATTGTTTCACTTGATATTGTAGCCTCCAAAAAAATTGTGCCCTACTCTTCCGAGTGAGTTGTGTACTCAAGTAGTTTTTCAGAATATAGATTAGATTGTGCTCAAAGATTTCACTCTTATTTTGTGAGGAGTTTAAGATCTGATTCTATGTCTTATAGGCGCGAACCCCAATGTTTAATTACCAAACTCAATTATGAGCGGGAAGTTTCAATTAAGTTTGATCGGCGCATTTTAAATGTTTAGCTTATAGCAGCCGTGATTTGATTTACGATTGATGAAAATATACCACCTGTAATGTAAAGTAGATTAATGCAATCAAAAATTTGGGGAGAAGCCCAAATTTTTGATCACAAAAACAACTACTTTCTAGGATGATAGAAAGACATAAAATACTCAAAAACTTAAAATATAACTAACAAAACAAAACACAACTTCAAATTATAAAAAGACTTACAAACAAGGACTCTTACAAACTTTGACGCTTACAAACGTTTGACAAATTTATGACTTCAAAATAAACACCTAAAGAAGCTTTCATCCATTAGAAGAAGGATACAGGTGAGGTGGTACTTGCGGAGAGACGAAAGAGGTTATAAGCCAAGACGAAGGGTGGAAAAAACTCGCAAGTATTTCCCAGAGGAGATGAGAAGGAGAATGAAACAAGCTCGCAAGCTTTTCCAACAAAACCCACAGGTTTAAATTTCCAAAAATCATTCATATAACATACTTAAACAACCCAAAACATCTACTATATATAGACATGAGAGGGGAATACAAATAGCCATAATGACCCTTTAAATTCTTAAATAAATGAGGGAAATGAAAAGCCAACAACTACCTAATAATATTCCCTAATTCTACACAAGAAACAAAGCACCAAAGCCACGAAAAAGCCCCCCTTCAGCCACGGGAAACAGCCCAACCAGGGACTCGAAGAGGCAGCCGCGGAAACCAAAAAGGCCCGCACGGACCCGAAGCACCAAAGCACGGGAAAGGCCACCCAACTGCCAACCGAGGAAGCCAAGGAGCCAAGCACGAGAACCCAAGAGCCATCCACGGGAAACGAATAGACAAGGGGAAGGAGAAGAGACAAAATCCAAGAAATAATGAGCTAATTTTTAGCTCCATAAATGAACTAAAAACCAGCTCATAATGAGCTAACGTTCTACTTGACATTAATGAGTTGGAGAAGTCAAAAATCAAAATTTTTTTGGTTTGATTTGACCCCCCTGTCTACATCATAGATGGCGGGGCAATGATGATGACCCATGGCTCTTTTGCTCTGGCTTATCGTGGACCCAATTTGCTTAGTTAGCGAATGTGGTTGACCCTACCTGATTGAATGATCCTTATTGGCAACTATGGGATGCATCATTCAAGGGTATCTTATTTACCCGGAGTGGATGCTTGTTTAAGTGGACAAATTTAAGTCGATAATAACTAATAGAGAGTTTTGTATTCTATCCAATACACTCTATGATTCACCACACAGGGATTGAGCCATTGGGGAACTTTTGGGCTTTGGTTGCATCCATAGTTTAGTGGTATCATTTTACGACGAAACACAAATTATAATATATTATTTTGATGCCATTTTGTGGCTAAATCACTTGGTAGGAGGCATGGTTTTAAAAGGAGAAATCGGGAATCGAGGCGTTTTTTCTAAACGAGGCGAGGTGTAAGCCTCAAAATGATTAAAATAAATTAATTTAAAATTATAAATAATGACAAAAAATAACAAAATATTATGTCAACTATGAATTTGAAGATTTGTTTCAAGATAATATTACTGGAATATAATATTTAAAATAAGCTCACTTAAAAATAAAACATCCTCTTAGGATCAAGACCCAAAACAGGCTCATCATCACTTTAATTATCTTAAGAAGAATCTTCATAATTAACGTCAAAGTCATCCTCAAACTCTTCTTCATCTATAATATTTTTTCCTTTATCTCCTATATCAATTAATAATTAATTAGCTCTAAAATGAAAGAATAGTAACATACAAAATAATTTGTTATATTTAAGAATACCTTTGAATTTTTTTGAAGCTCCAATCTCACTTTGTTTCTTTCTTTTATATATTTGGGTAGTTGCTTCATTGTCTTCTTGATTGACATGAGTTTCTCCTTCTGATTCAACTTCAGAAACATCAGCATTCTTAGGAGTAACCCATTCATCATCAGATTGTAACTCATCAACAAGCAAATGGTCAAATTTCATTCTCAATATTTTCTTGATTATGCAATTTGAGATGTTTATCTTTCAGTTTTTTATTAAACGTAACATAAATTAGTTTATTCATTCGATTTGCCGCCAATCGATTTCTTCTCTTTGTATGAATTTGATTGAAGATGCTCCAATTACGCTCGCATGCAGAAGCCGAACACGTTAGCTAAGAACTTTAACTGCAAAAGCTTTCAATTCAGGAGCATCATCTTCAAACTGAGCCCACCAACATTCTACATGAAGACAAACATAGTATTTTATGAATGTAGGTTGAAGTAGAAGACCTGAACATAAATATTAACATTAAAATTATAAATAGACAAACTATAAACATACCAGGAGATTGTGTTTTGTAGCATGTTTGTCCTGTTCTAAATCCAAACATTCTCTTCTTCAAATGAAAATCCTTAAGTTTATCATTCACTTTGAGGTAGTCTTCTTCAGAAATGAGTTTGTCCATACATGCATACAAATCAGTTTTCAACTCTTTGTCAACATGAAAATCCTTATCATAATAAAATTGGGGGTTTAAATAGTACGCAGCGGCATGTAAGTGTTGGTGTAATTGTCGATCCCACTTTTCATCTATAATATCTCATATTTCTCTGTAGGCACTTTCTTGACCTCCCAATTCTTTTGCAATGTCTTCTTTAGCCCTATTCATTGCTTCATAAATAAATCCCATAGCCGGATCTTTCCTTCTTGTGCCACTAGTCATGCTAATAATTTATAGAAATATTAAATAATCAATATAAAAAATCAACAATAGGACAACATGAATACAACAATATACCGGTCTGCCGTGGGTCCAAGGGGGCGCTGCCCCCTGGCGTGATTCGACCTTCCCGGTCAGGTCGCGGGGTCAAGCATGTTTTTAAATTTTGAAATTTTGCTTGTTTTTAAAGTTCGTAAATTGTTTGTATGGAAAGATACCAAGCGGTACCGAGCATGTTCCTAACGGTACCGAGCATATATCGGTCGGTACCGAGCATATACTGCTCGGTACGTACCGAGCGATACTGGCTTGGTACCGAGCATGTACCTAGTGGTACCGAGCATGTATCGCTCAGTACCAAGCATATACTTGCTCGGTACCGAGCGGTACTGGCTCGGTACCAAGCATGTACCTAGTGGTATCGAGCATGTACCGCTCAGTACCGAGCATGTACTCAGCAGACGAATGAAAGAAAGCC